CTTAAAAATGTAGATATGCTACAGCAACTTGCTGAGACAAACATGACCCAATATTGAATAATTGAAGCATTCAAAAGGTTCAATTTAGTTTTCAAGGCTTTGACAAAGCTTGCTTTGGATACATCCTTCAGCCAGATTTTGCTGAAAAAATTAAAAATTTTAAAAAGTGTTACCTAAAGATAACTGGTGCAAGCGTAACACCCAAAATTCACGCTGTCTTCAATTACATCAAGGATTTCATAAGTTACAAAGAATCCCTCTTAGAGCCCTACAGTGAACAAACTGTCGAAACTTCTCATCAAGATTTTTATCAAAATAGGTCGAAGTATAGGCAAATTAATAATTATCCTGAGTACTCAGAAAGATTGTTGCGCTGCAACAGTAAGCATTTTTAAAGAACATCATTTGAGTTATTGGAAACTAGGCTGCTGAAATTTACATTTTACGGCGTGTAATGAATATTTTCACCATCTTTAAAAGTAGTATTAGAGAGTATTTCTATTAAAAGAGTACATTGAGCTATTTATTAATAATCTTTTGGTGGAGAAAATAAAATAAACATTTCTTAATATAAATATGTATATATATACATATATATATATATATATATATATATATATATATATATATATATATATATATATATATATATATATATATATATATATATATATATATATATATATATATATATACACACATATATATATATATATATATATATATATATACACACACATATATATATATATATATATATATATACATATATATATATATACTATATATATATATATATATATATATATATATATATATATATATATATATATATATATATATATATATATATATATATATATATATGTATATATATATATATATATGTATATATATATATATATATATACATATATATATATATATATATATATATATATATATATATATATATATATATATATATATAAATATATATATATTATATTTTTACCTAATTATACATATTTACATAATTTAATTATGTATTGTGTTATTTATTGTACACTTATTGCTACGTTAGAGTTATCTTGTTCTATCTTCATTGAGTTATTGATAGTGGTGTGCACTTCAGGATAAAGATTTACTACTGTATTAAATCCTAACTTATAGGTAAAAAAATTGCGGAAAAAACATAAATTAAAAAAAAAAATTATCTGCCGTCTCCAAAAGTTTTTCTTTTTTTAATCTTTTTTACTTAAAAATGTTAATGCTATTTAAGCAGCCGGACAGTTTTTTCCTTTCTGTCCGGACAGAAAAAAATTTTCTTCATCAGAAGACATTCCTGCTTTCACTGAATTCTCATCGCATTTCTGATCTGGAGTCATTCATTGAGATTTAAAGGTTTAGTGTTTTGTGTTTAGTTATATCATGTCAATTAAAACTAGACCTAAATGTGCCCTACCAATATTAATTTTGTATCATGTAATTGAATGAAAACTCGATAATCTAGTTGCATCAAAATCATTGAGTTTTCAACATCGTTTATCTCTTTATTTTTATATTATTAGATTCTTTGACAAATCTAACATGTTAGGTTTGTTATAGAATGTTATGCAAATCACGTTGCTAAAAGGACAACGTAAAATGCTGCCCAATAAAAATTGGGCAATATTAACTTAGCATTGGAAGAGTTGTAATTTCACAGATTAATCTTTTGTCTTTCATACAAGTCATTGAAGCAATACAAATACATCTAAATATACTGGCATCAGGATAAATACCATTTATAAAATTCTTTTCATACTGATTTTCCTGTGATCCGTCACAACACTGTTTGTAATTTAATTCTTATGAATCTCATTCTTTTCCTTTTAAACTTTGCACCACCTTTTTTAAATATATAAGCAATTAGATAAACGCACGATCTGGTGAATTAATTGCAATACAATTTTCAAATATATCTTTAATTGAATAGCAATTTTTTTTTTTTTTAATGGTATTGTAAAAAAGATAAAGCCATTTACAAGAATTTCGAATAACTTTGATTTGTCTTCTAAAAAAAGCCGCTTCAACAAACAAGTTCATTTGACGCTGATAACTTTGTTTTTCAGCGTTAAATGAATATTTATATAACTCTATACATTTTTAACTTCTTTTGGGAATATATATTTTCCTTTAAACTTTTGAACAATTTAAATTATTTGACGAGAAAAATTTTTATTCAAGTTCCTTGTGTCGCAAGCAACTTGTAGTTTTGGTTTGCAGCCCTCTTGTTTTGTCACTAAGAAGTCCCTGACTGCCGATCTCTAAATTAAAGAATGCCTCCAAAAAAGACTTTTGTTATTTATGAAAAAGAACAAATACCATTATCTCTTTTGGCCAGATATTTCTGCTTCTCCCTATTCTAAAATGGTTCTACAGTGGTGCAAAGATAATAATAGAAAATTTTTTCCAAACGATCAGAATCCTCTAAATCGTCCTGAAGAGCGCAAGATTTAAGATTTTCGGGCAATAGTTTAGGAATTCTTTGTTAAACAGGTGGAGTAACAAAACATAAAAAGGACTTTTTACAAAAAGTGGAGTAATGCCACCAATAAGGTGAAAAAATAAAAGTCTGCAAAATAATGGCACCAACCCGCTATTAAATTCGATCTCTTGCCAAACAGTTTATCATGCCGCTTAAAATAAAGTTGAAATTCTTATTAATGTCAACACATTAAAAAAAAATTTGAAATTAAAAGCATTTATGATTTTAGAGAAATCTTAATTTAAAGTTGACCGGATTTTTCCGTGTCCAACTGATATATTTAAAATTCTTGTATACTTTTTCATTTTTTAGTGATTTTGATTTTAGATATATTATATATAATTTTTGCTTAAGCTTTGATGACTTTTTATTTTCTTTGGTAATTCAAGTTTTAAACGAGTTATTTGGATTAATTGTTTTTTCAATAAATTGAAAACTGGCATCGTAGATAGAGTACAATGTGCTAAAAAAACTATTGTAAATAGAGTTAGCCTTTTAATTAAAGTTTACATGCTTCCAATGAAGCAGTAATGATTGTTTTTTAAACTGCTTAAAATTTATATGGTTATGTATATACATAAATATATGTTTATATAACAAAATTTAAAAAAAGAAAAGAAAATTATAAAATGTTATAAAAATATTTTTGCATAACTGCCTCAGAAAAAAAAAAAAAATAAACAATCCAGAAATGGAGGACTAACCTGAGACAACATTGCTAATACTTTACTTAAACTGGCTATCAAAATAAGAAAAAATCCCAGAGATGGAGAGCAAACCTAAAGTGATACAACAGTTTACCAATGGAGTGCAAAGTCCTATGGTTCACCTTTTCTTTAAGTGAATTAGACAAGTATTATGCCTAATTTATGAGCTAAATAGCCTAGGCAACATTTTAAATAACTTTATTATTAAATGGATACAGAAGCGGTTCTTCAAAAAAAAATGAGAAAGGGAGAGGGGTGAATTCTTAAAAAGTACCAACTGACTCCTTTAAAAAAGAACAAAAAAACAAATTTTCCATAAAACTAAAATTTACTCGACTGAATTGTGTCAAATACCTGACTAGCCAACTAAATTCGTCAAAAAACCGACTATAACTTGAAAATCACCTTCTATTTTGTTTAGAGGGGGAGGAAAGGGGAGGGGGTGGAACACCCTTACATTCCTCCTGCGTAAAATTTTGAATTACACCATTGTTTAGAAACTTTATTTCTAACGAGAGATATCAAGTTTTTTTAAAGCCTTATTTTTATTTTTATTTGAGCAGAAAGTTATTTCTACTTTGAATAAAATATGATATTATTTTTTCAAGTCTATATAGGTAATAATCTTTGAGGCCTGTCTTTGATTCCTTACGAAAAAATTTGTCGGTTACGAAACATCACCGAAGTATCAACGACAACGAAAAAATCAACCCCATTTGTGAAAATTATTATTGGGGGAGGTGGAGGGATTTAAACAAAAGTAGGGGTGGGAATTTTTTTATGTTACAATATAAGTGTTTTTCATAAAAAAGTTGAGTTTTTAAATCCGAACTAATATTTTTTACAAAACACGCTTAAAATCAAATAATCACCTGTTTGTGGCTGGATAGCTCAGCTGGTTTGAGCGTCGAACAAAATGTTTAAACCCGGACTGTTGTAAAATACGAGTTCAAATCCTGCCACGGCGAACTCAGCGCTTGAGTAGTAGTACTTCGGTACGCAAAAACATTGGTCAATAACGGACGCTACTTTGGATTAGTTGTAAGGACTATTTGTGACTATTCCTATGCTAAGCCAACAATATCTTCGGATATAAGAACATTGTATAAAAAAATATAGGATGAAAAATTCAAAAAACAAAAAAATGTTCTGTCATAATTTCAATAGACTAAGTTTTATACTTTGGAGAGATATAAACCAAAAGCTCATTTTCGACAAATCCAGATTTACTAGATTGACGATATTTAAAGTTTGTTCACACGTAAAGTTTTTGTTTTTATCCGAGACTGAAATATTTTTTTCTAATTTTTAAGGCCAATTTTCACGGATTGTTTTTTTTTAGTTATGAGATATAATGTTTGTGCTGATAACAAGCGAAAATTAATAAACAGTAGGGCGGTGGGTCGGATTTTGATAAGCTTGGGGTGGGTGGGAAAATTCTCCAAAAATTAATAAACATCCCCTTATTTATTAATTACTCGAAGTACGTATTGAATTTAAAAAAATAATATCTCGTCTGTGGGATTACTTTTTACCTAATTCAAAAGTAAAGTAGCTTATAACAAAAAGGGACGGGGATAGGGTGGCGTCACCTTTTTCACTGGTCAATATCGAATTGTAATGGACAATCTTAAGTATAGTCGGCAAAATTTGATATTTTGAAGTCGGCAAATGTAAAATAATAGTCTGGTCGGCAAATGAAAAAACTTATATTATTTTTTTTCGTCGTTAAATACACTTATGGCCCAATCCCCTCCATCCCTAATCCTCAAAAAAAACCCAGCTTTTCAAGCTATTTATATGCAAAATTTATTACAAATTTTTTCGGAATAAAATTTTAAACATTTTACGTTTTATTTAATTAAAAACCTTTTACATTACCAGCTATAGTGTCATTGTATTCAACCAAGTGTTATTCAATATATTGGTTTTAAAAAAATGTTTTTGCCGCGCTGTTGAATTTACCTTCATTTATAAAATTACCTACTTCGTCGCTACTTCGTCTTAAAACAATTCCTTTAACAATTTTAAAAAATTCGAATAACATTTTGTAGGGTTTATCATTTTGGTAGTAAGGACCGTCTACACTTGTATATACGAAAGATTTCAATATGGAAAGAATCACTCAACTCACCAATCATCCAATTTCCATCTAAATAAACAGCATTATCTACTTGAATCACTACTCCTGAGTAAAAAACGTCATGCATTCCCTCATAATGCTTTTTAAACGTAAACCGAACCTCTACATTAGTAAGAAGTTCGGTGTTATGGTACGTGCCGTCAATAAAAAAGGTACCGATGCTATCGCTGCCTCGACCAGTGATAAACCCATTTGATAAAGCTAAAATATCAAAGGTCATATCAAACTTTTCATCATTTTGTATATAATAACCAACTGCTTTCCCAGTAATATCAATGGTGGTACTGTAGTCTAAATCTTTTTTAGCATCGATCAGGCTCGACTGATTTTGCTCAATCAATTCAGCAGTTTTGTTAAAATTTGTTTGATTATGATATAAAACCATTGAAAATTTTCCTGAAATCTCACCATTAATGTTCCACATTCCCTCTAACTCGTAGACATTTGCTTTTAAGAGGATAGTTCCTTCGTATTGAACTGTGTGTTGACCGACGTATTTTTTTTCCATTTTAATAACTCCTACGCAATTTTCGATAGAGTAAGTACCTTCTACAATGAAAGTACCAACAACGTCATCACCGTGACCCATTACTTTTCCGTCGCATAATTCAAAAAGCTAAAAAAATAAATTCAAGTAGTAAAACAAGTCTTAAGTATTTCTTTGAATTATTTAAACCTGTTGCTTTATATACTTTCTAGAAATACTGGTAAACATTGATAGCAAGAACATATTGCGTACACGGAAATAGAATTTTTTTTTTTTTAGTTATATTATTGTTTATGACATGCAATTTAAACCTTTTATTTATTATTATTTGTTATCTTACCATTAAAATTATTTAAACTAGTTTTTATTCTTATTTGTATAATAAAGTCAAAGAACTTGTGAATCAAAAATCAACAAAAAAGTCTATACCAAATAAGTTTTATCCTAGTCTCTCGTACAATTACATTTATTTCGCTAAGAAGTAATTTTTTAATAAATTGTTTTATATTACCTCAAACTGAATAGGATGTTCACCGTTTTGATAATAAAATGCTGTCATATTTCCAAACTTTGAACCACCAGTAAACAAGGGCTCTTTTTTTTTATATTCATTTTCATTGGAAGAATTATCAGTTTCATTGATTTCCATTTTATGGTATGCTTTAATGATCTTGTTTAAAAAAAAATTATTTAAAAACTTCTGCTTATCTTAAAATTAACTTAATTTATCGCACCGAAACTTTTTATACGCTAAATAAACACACCATATAATTATTACCTATTGGTAAACTAGAGGTTAATTATAAATTTAAAAGTAATACTGACATTTAAGGCATTATATGTTAAATGATTGATATCGTTTGAATATTAATGAAAAACACAAAATGTTGTAGGAAACCATCCCTCGTTGTTGTGACTTTATAATTGTGTTTGCATGATACTTTATCAATTAATTGTTTAGCTACAGGAAAGATTATAAATAGGTTTTAAGTTTGATAATTTGCTTTAATCATCCGTAACTAATGCTACACGCTAAGTAAAATTTGGGGTTTTATCACGAGTTTATAATAATAATAATAATAATAATAACAATAATAATAATAGCAATAATAACAATAATAATAATAGCAATAATAACAATAATAATAATAATAAAGTACTACTCGTATAAATAGTATCAAAGATCACTGCTTTTAATATTTTCTATAAACGCTTACTTCTTCATATTATTAAAAGAAACAACTCTTGTTAGATAAACAATTGCATTAGGCAAAATAAAAATCAACTTTTTCAAAATATTTTAAACAACTGTTTTGCAAATTTTATGGAAAGCCTAACTTGAGTTAACTTAAATTTCATTTGTTTATCTTCTTGATTTGAGTTGAATTATTTATAGTTTTATTAATTATACTATATAATAATAATTACACTCTGTAAAATTAATTCTCCTCAGCCCATAATTTACGCTAAATAATTCATTTTTGTAAATCTAATTTTTTTTTTAATTTTTTTTATAAAAAACCTTATTAAAAAGAAAATGAGCTTCATTATTTTTTAACTAAATAATTTTTTTCAAAATTCAACAATAACTTTTCATAACGTAGTAAAAACAATTTACTACGTCCTGAAAAGTAAAATTAATGTTACAATTAAT